CCACGCACCCACACAGCCACACAGCCACACAGCCACACACCCACGCCCACACCCATGCCCACGCGCACGCACGCACGCACGCGCGCGCGCGCACGCACGAAAGCACGCGCGCACGCACGTACGCGCACATGCACGCACGCGCGCGCGCGCACCCGACCACCCACCCCACCCCCCACCCGCGCGCACAGACCCACGCGGACCTGCACAGACCCGCACGGACCCACACAGACCCAAAAACACCCCCACACACCCACGCACGCACGCACACGCATACACGCACGCACAACGACACGCACAAAAAACGCCACGCACAAGATGGCGCACGCCACACGGCACTCGCACACGCACACGCACGCGCACCGCCCAAACGCACACCACACCACACGCACTACTCCCCCCCCCCCCCCCACACACACACAAGGCTTGGGGTTACAACACACGCACAGCACACACACACTCACAACACACAGGACGTCACACACACCCAACACACACGCACACACACACGCACAACACACCACACACACACACGCAAAAAAGAAACACACACACACACGCACACGCACACTACACACCACACGCACACACGCACACACGCAAACACCCGCACACACTCACACACGCACGCACGCACACGCACACGCGCACACACGCACGCACGCACACACGCACGCACGCACACACGCACACACGCACACACGCACACGCACACACGCACACACGCACACACGCACACACGCACACACGCACACACGCACACACGCACACACGCACACACGCACACACGCACACACGCACACACGCACACACGCACACACGCACACACGCACACACGCACACACGCACACACGCACACCCGCACACACGCACACACGCACACACGCACACACGCACACACGCACACACGCACACACGCACACACGCACACACGCACACACGCACACACGCACACACGCACACACGCACACACGCACACACGCACACACGCACGCACACACGCACACACGCACACACGCACACACGCACACACGCACACACGAACACACGCACACACACGCACACGCACACGCACGCGCGCCGCGCGCACACGCACACGAACACGCAGACACGCGCGCACACGAACGCGCACACGCACGCGCATGCGCACACGCACGCGCGCACATGCGCACGCACGCACAAACGCGCACACGCGCACGCACACACGCACGCATGCGTGCACACACGCACTTACACACACGCACGCACGCACGCACACACGCACGTTGACAAGCATGCACGCGCGCGCACACGCGCGCACGCACATGCGCGCACGCTCGCACGTTCACTCGCGCGCGCTACCGCCCGCAAACGCACCCATGTGCGCGGTCGCGCGCGTCGCGCGCACATGCCGCGTGCGCGCCACTCTCGCGCATGCGCGCCCATATGTAACCATCGCCAAGCATGGTTCTTCGAAACCATCCCAAGAAAGCCCCTGCGGGGAAATGAGCCATCTGCTCGCGTCGCCCCGCGTGCCTCATCGTAGAATTTTGCAACGCAGTCGCGGTGTGCAAAATTCATGAGGAATGTAAGGGGTCGCTGGAATGCTACTGGTTTGCGCTGCTCCCAAAGCAGTGCTTGCACTTGAGGCTTCTGGGTTGCGTTCCATGATTGTCGAAGCTTCGCCGCGTTTCTTGGGGGGGCCGTCGAGGTTTCGCCGCGTCGTTGCCCGTTGTTGCCTCGTTGCCGCCCACTTGGTGGTGGTGAAGGTGCGACGGGGCCGTCGGGGTCTGATCGCGCCGCCGCCTCGTTGCCGCCTGTTTTCTTTTTGTACTTTGTGCCGCTTCGCCGCGTCGTCACCCGCCTGCGCTGGATGGCTTGCGTCGCATAACTTGCCCCGCATAGCTTGCGCCGAGTAGGTTGCGCCGAGTATATTGCATCGCTTAGTTTACTCATTCACAGTGGACTAACTGACTGCTTGGGACCTACGCTGGCTGACATTGGATTGAACCAGCCATTCAGTGAACGCGTTAATTTAAAGGGAAATTAGGACACACAAATAAATACACACAAATAAAAATAGTCCCCATATTTTCACATATTTTCTGGGTTTTTGTCTTCCCCCCCAATTCCCATATTTTCCCATATTTTCCTGGGAATCGAGGATTAATTGTGTCTGTGTGTTTTTTTCCCTCCTGATAATTATTCGACGATAAGACAGCAGCTGCGCCCGCGCAAGTGAGGAACCAATGCAAATCTTGGGCGGCCGCGCGCGCGTGCACTCGGCGACGAGGCAATCCTGGGCATGCGCGGGAAACCGCGTGGCGATGCTGGCGCGCCGTGCATGGTGGCACCGTTTCTTGCGCGCGTTAACGATCTGTCGCGATGGTCGAACATGTTGGGTGAAGACTGAGCGCGCGAGCGCGCCGCTCAAGCGGCATCCGAGGCTCTATGGTGTAACCGTCGGCGAAAACGGACACGCGAGTTCGTCCGATCTGGAACAGCAGCAAGATGCGCAGATGCCGCGGGGGCGCATCATGCAGAGCGCGCCTGCGCTCCCCGGCGTTTCTCGATGTGTGTTTCAGGACTGCTCGGCCGAAGATCTGCAGAGCTCATCGGGGGATTTTTCTCGTCGCCCGCAACTGCGCGCCGAGTGTCTCTGCTGTTGCATCGATGCCGATGCCAGGAAGATGTCGTTGGAAATGCCCGGGGTGGCGGGTGGGGTCCGGGGCCGCCGCGCGGTGCGCTGCGTTGATTGCGCGGCGTTGGACCCCCCCCCCGCCCCCCGCGGTTTTCAATGACTCAGCCCTGGCGACCATGAAGAGGGGCGCCGTCGCCCGGCAGCAGCGCCGTTGCGCGTCGCGAAACGCGGCGCGGAGGAAGATGGGCGCCCGGGCAACGGGCGGGGAAGTCCAACGCGCGCGGCCGGGGCCCGAAGACGTTGGCGCGGGCGTCGCGCCCTCGCGTCAGCTTCGCATTCGACGTGTCGGTCTGCCGCCCCGCTCTGCGCGAGATGCATGGGGTGCCGCGAGGTGGCCAGGGGGCCCGCGCCCCCCGCGCGCGCGGGCTGGGAGGTCGAGCTCGCGGGTCGCGCCACCCCGATTGCCGGCGAACGCGATGGCCGCGCGATCGACATCGCCGCGGCGCGCGCGGCGAAACGGCGGGATGCGCGCCTATGCCTGCGTCGTCGCTGAGAAGGTTGAATTCCCCGTCGACGACGATGGCGAGGGCGAGAGCTTCGGGCGCGGGCAACTGATGGTGGCTCCGCATGGGGCGCCGTGGCCGGCCAGCAGAGGCGGCCCCGCGGAGCGACCCCGAGCGGGCAGAGAGGGCGATCGACCTGGCCCGCGGCAGAATTTCGACCAAATGGCGATCGCCCACGCCGCCAGCCGCTATCGGGATGCACCCGCCAATTCCCGAGTTGACGCGGAAGTCCCGCGTGCAGTCCGCCCGTGACCAACTGCGTCAGGGCTATTGATCTCGCGGGTGCGTCGACGGGCTCCATGTTGGCAGTTTCTGCCAGTGATGCAAGCGAGGTCGGGCAGGCGTCGGGGCGGCGCGCCTCGCCGCCCCGCCGCGCGGTCGGGCGCTCGCTGGGCCTGCTCGGCGGCGGCCGGATGCGAGGGGCGCCGCGGCCTGAAGGCCCCCCCGACCTTCTCCAGGATTGCCCGTGCGCGGGCGCCGCTGTCCTGGTGGCCCTTGAACTTATGTCCCGTGCGAGTCCATCGCGGAATTGGCCGCGTGTTGGGCGGCAGGTTTGCGCGGGTGCTCCGGCGGGGGAGCGGCGGCGTCGCGGAGCGACGCGGCGCAGGGCGGCCCGCGGACAACGCGATCGGCGCTGCGCGTCGGCCGCGAACGACGACGCCGCGTGATCTGGGGGCTTCTATATGGACTGAGCGCGCCTAACGCCTTCGTTTGCGACCGCTTGCAATTGCAGCCGCAATCCTCCTCTTCGCAATCCCCTCTTATTCCGCTTCTACATCTCCCCCGTCTCTGGCAAGCTCCGCCCCGGGGCTTTCGGCCGCCTGCAGCGCCCCCTGCCGCCCCCCCATCCTCCCTGGACTCTCGTCGTCGTCGACGTCGCCCTCCTCCTCTTCGTGCTCTTCCCCTCCCCCCTCCCCCCCCTCTCCCCGCCCTTCCCCCTCCGCCTCTGTTTCGCGCGGGCCCCGTGCGTGCGCGGCCGCGCGACCCAGCCGCGAGCGCGACTGGGCGCTCGCAGGCGCGGGGCGCGCCGCGGGGCACGCGCGCCGCGAACGACGCTTCTTGCTTGACCGAACGAGGCGAACTTCTGTCCGGAGCAGCGCTTGCAACGAGCTCCTCTCCCTCCTTCTCCTTCTCCTCCCCCTCTCCTCCTCCCCCCCCCCCCCCCCCCGTTTTTTTCCTCATCCGCCTCCTCCTTCTCCTCCTCCTCCTCCTCCTTTTTCCCCCCCGCCAGTCCGTCCTATGGGGCGGGGTCGCGGGCCTGGGGTCCCCCGCTGCGTCCCGTTCAAAAACGCGGCTCAGGGCCTGTTGCGAAAGGGGGCGACCAGGGCAGTTCTTTCCGCGGCATCATGTCGCGACGCGTGCTGCGGAAGTCCTGTCAACTGGTTAACTGTGATTTCATGGTTGTGGCGTCGTTCGTGATCGTTCGCCCGGCGTTGTGCGATCCCGCGACGCGCGCTGCGTCATTGCGCGATGTGCGGGCCCGCGCTGTGGAGGAATGAGAAGCTCTGTGCAGCGTGCGCCCGCGGCCAGATGGTGCGTGGATGCGCGGTCATTGATCTTGGGTCGCGTGCCCCCGCGCCGCTTTCCACGCGGGCATGCGACGCGCGGCAGCGCGACGCGCAGCGGTGCGCGACCCCGCGCTGAATGGTGCTGTTCTGCGCAACGATGCGGCGCGCCCAATGCAACGTGCGTCGTGTGATCGCCATGCCGATGCCATCCAACATGCGACATGGATTATCATGGCCGATCCCACCTCGGCGATGGATGCGCTGCCGTCCAGCTGGCCTCGCCAAGGTGAGCGCTCGCCGTGCCTCCCTTTCGGGAGTGACAAACTGGAATCGTCGCGGTTATCACGCGCGCTGGCAGACGGCCCGTGCCCATGGGTGCGCCGGCCGCCGCTAGCTTTGCAACCTTCTCCTGTTTGATAGCATGTCCCCCTTTCTGGGACGCGCGCGATGTGAGCGCGGCGGCCCGGCCTGGGGGGATGTCGCGAGCCTCGCGCCTCGAATCAGAATTCCCGGAGGAAGTGCTTCAAAGCTGGGCAATGTGGCATGGCTCGCATGGGCGGCCGCAGAAGAAAACTGTTTCCAGCCCATGTTGCGACATCAGAAACAGTGACCAAACCAAAACATAGCGAGAACTGTTTCAAGCAAGGGCGCGACTCTGGACTGAATTGTGATGTGGTGTCGCCCGGGGACTTATGGGCAGGATGTGCCGCGGCGCAGAACGAATTTGCAGCCGCGAGGATGGGGCAGAGACAACAAGAGATATGAGGGGGGCCCAACTCTCCAGGCGGGAAGCAGTCAACGGCCCCGCGAATCCACGGCGGAAAGCGACAACAAAAAAGCCAAGGGCTTTGCCTGATAACACCAAGTGCCTTCCGGTTGCTGGAACAGCGCCCCCTTTCGTAATAGGCTTGCCCAAAGCAGTGCGTGCCAAGCATCTCCTCTGGTCGTAGGATCGGGGGGGGAAACCCCCCGCTGACGCTGGTGGAATGTCTGGGGGTTTTGGGCAATCGAGACCGACGCTGGCGATTCATCGCTACGGTCTGACATTGCGACGAAGGCAATGTAATTCTGCATCTGGTGACTGTGTGTTGCGTGATCCTGTGCTGCGCCTTTGTGCTGGTTCACGTTGTGTTGTCTGACTTCGGCGACGTGTACTGTTTGATATATTGCAGCGTGGACCTGCGCTGTAGGAGCGCAGGATTGTGTTTACGTGGCGTTCGGTCTTGTATTGGGTGAGCGTGCGCGCTGCTCCCCGCTTGCGGTGTCAAAACGTTCATACCGCACAAACGCAAACAAAAACACAAGCACACACACGCATTCACACAAAAAAACACATACAGACATGAACAACGCACAACACATCACACAACACAACACAACACGCATAACAATTCACATACACAACTCACACAACACACACACACACACGCACCCACGTCCTCACATCGCACACACACACGGCATGCACATTCTTAGAGCTGGCGGCGCGGTCGCATGCGGACGCACTTATGGCCCCCAGAAAAAAAAACAAGGACGGACAAATATAGGCGGCGAAGATCACATCCCGGGCCTAAGCACCAGAGTGGCCACAAGCAACACACAACACACACGCAAACGCGAACACACACACACAAACACACACAAACACACACAAACACAAACACAAACACACACACACACACACACACAAACACACACACACACAAACACACACACACACGCACGCACGCACGCACGCACGCACGCACGCACGCACGCGCGCGCGCGCGTGCGCTGATTACGACATTAACAATGTAGTTTTCCTTTGGATGATCGCCCTACCTCCATCCCCGCGGGCTCAGTGAACATTTCAATGATGTCTCGATCATCTCTGTATTTCGAGATCCTGGCGGGCCCATCGTTTTGCTTGTAATGCAACTGTGTGCTGGAGAGCGGAGGCTGAACATGTTGCTCAGGGGCAATAGTAGGAGACTAACGAGAGAACGTGGAACATTGATCCGGGGCAACAGTGCGCTTGAACATGCACTCGGAAGATGCTGCCGCAAGGCGGTGTCCGAAGGCAGAGCTGGAACATGCAGGGACATTGCGCCCAGAGTCTGGCGCCGACGACGGGCCGGCAGGGGGCGCGGGAAAGGTGGAGCCCGAAGATGCGCAGGAGGACCGGCCCGCACAGCAGCGCCCAAGAGGGCGAATGGGGCGGCCTCAGCGGGCAGGGTGTTCTGGAAGATGGTGCTGGCGCGCTGCGGCTCGAGCCGTGCCATCAGGCTGCCGCCGCCGAGCGGCGGTGGACTGCCGCCGATGACCTCGCGACGCGCCACAACTGAGGGAGCTGTGGTCCTCACCCCGTGGGGGACCGACCCATAGGCCTCGGCACCGCTCTCGAGAGACCTTCGATACGATGGGTTCCCCAAGGTGGAATCGGACTACAGCTCCCTTCCTCCTACCCCTGTCCCCCTCCTTATGCTTTCTCCTCCCTGGAGCATCCTCCTCCTGTCCCTCTTCCTCCCGCTCCCCCTCCTCCACCCTATCCCTCTCCTACTCATCCTCCCCCCCTCCCTCTCCCCCTCCCCCTCCTCCTCCTCCTCCTCCTTTTCCTCCTCCTCCTTCTCCTCCCCTCCACCTCCATCACCTCCTCATCCTCCTCCACCACCTCCTCCTAGTCCTCCTCTTCCTCCTCCTCCCGACCCCAACCCTGAGGGGGAACGTTCGGGGAAGGGGGGGGACCGGTCCAGGGAGGGAAGCATTGCGCTTTAATCAGCGACGAACTGCCGATAGACCGGCAATAGACCCCGATAGCGAATCCGGAGGCTCCTTGGGGGGTGGGCTATCAAGGCCCTGTCGGCGATCCATGGGCGAATTTGGGGTCGATGTGTCCCCCCCCTCCCTGAGCCTGTCCCCACGATGATGTTGTCCACTGGTCTCGCATCATAACTCGCATCCGCGGCGGCCGTTCGGGACGATCTGGGCCCCCCTGTAACGCTCTCGGCAAGGCGCGAGCCTATCCTAAGCCGAAGATGGTCATTATCTCAGCTTTTTAGGGATAGTCCGCCAATCCCCCCTCACACATCCCCTTTTTACATTGAACGGACCTTAGCTGTACAGCTGCGTCAACGTACAATTCCTCCTCCTCCTCCTTTTTCTCCGCCTTCTCCTTCTCCTCCTCCTCCTCCCTCTCCTCCCCCTCCTCTTCCTCCTCCTCCTTCTCCTCCTCCTCCTCTTTCTCCTCCTCCTCCTCCTGGGCTCCCCCCCTCCCCCTCCTGCCCCCCCCCCCTCTCACCCTCCTCGCCCCTCTCCTTCCCCTCCCCCCCTCTCGGAGCAGGGCGAACCGAGACAACGGCAATTCAAGAGCGGATCTTCCTGGGGCCCAAACGCACCGTGTTTCCAAGCTGCGTCCAGCTGTGGCGACGCGGGCACCCCCCCGAAGGCCAACTACGGTGAGGGCATCGGGTAAGGAACCACTGGATAATTGTATACACTTCTCGATTTGTGCGTGCCATCCTTGCGCAGGGCCCTTGCTAAATCTTCTCTGTGTCGTTCCAGTTTTAAGGAACCACTGGGTAATGAACCCCAGGTCTGGAAGCCGCTGGAGCACCACCTGTGGCCTGGCCGCTGGGCGCAGGATCAGGAGGACGTCGCCGCAGCCGCTCCCCTCAGATAAGGAATCGTCCAAGGTCTGCGGCCTCTCGGGCACATTCCTTAACGAACGCCCCCGCCGTACCGTTGTCTGCAGACGCCCCCCCCCTGAGCCTCCCCCCCCCCCCCCGAAACCGTCGTGTTTTGCCCTGGCCATCGCTTCGCTCGCCTCGTCCAGCCGCCGCGCGGTCCCCACTCGTCCCGATGCGGTGCCGTGCGCGGGACTTCTAGGGCAGAGAATGGGCTCACGCAGCTGGTTCTCCTGGCGCCTCCTGGCGCCAGAAGGCGCCCGTGTGCCGAGGAGTGGGCCCGGAGGCGGGGCCGCAACCAGCTGCATGCAACAGACTTCGTGCCCCCCTTTCACAATCCCACCCTTTCGTCCGGCTCGAAGTTAGAGCTTGACTCTAACCCACGTCCAAGTAATTCCCCTCCCCCTCCTGCACCGAATCCTCCGCTGGGCCTGCAGCAAAGAGGGAGGAGCAAACCATGCACTGGGTCCTGGACAAGGTGGGAGGGGGAAGGAGGGGAGAAGTGGCCCAACCGTCGCACGGCGTGCTAGCGGTGGCCACTCGGGCTTCGGATCGGCCTGGCCCCCCACCTCCTCCTCCCCCTCCCCCTCCTCCTCCTCCTCCTCCTCCTCCTTCTCCTCTTGCTCTTGCTCTTGCTCTTGCTCTTGCTCCTCCTCCTCCTCCTCCTCCCCACCCCCCTCATTCCCCTCTTTCTTCGACATCGAGGCCGTAGCGTCAGCACGAGCGCAGTTCAACAGAAGCAGCAACGGCGCGCACAAAAGGACAACAAAACAACCCGCGCAAGGTGCCGAGCACTGGAGGTGCTTCGGTTCCGACCTGGCCCTCAGAGGGCGAAGAGAGCATTAGAGGAACACACAACGGCATAAACATAAACTTTCGACGGTCCGCGCGGATTTCTTGGCTCCGCGCTAGAGGCCCCCTCCCTGGCGCGCCTCCGGCGCTTAGGGCGGCGCCGGAGGCGCCGCCATGGGGGCCAAGCGCGGATCCAAGAAATCCGCGCGGACCGTCGAAAGTTTATGTATATGCCTTTTTTGTTGTTGTTCGAAGGATGGCCAAGCCCCACTCCTTCCCCTCCGAGGCACCGCCCTGCCGGGCACCACAACGCCACGACCAGAGCGGGCCAGGGCCCCGAGCTGATCCCCTCCGCCGACAGTGCCCCGTGGGTTCGGGTCATTACTCGCCTCCCCTGCCGCCGTTCGGGACGATCGGGGCACCCCCGGAACGCTCTCGGCGAGGCGCAGCTGCTGGAAAGCATCCCGAGGCTGGAAAACCATTCGGGACGAGACCACCGAGAGCCTATCCTGAGCCGACAGCGGTCTCATATCAGCGTCTTGGGGGTGGTCTTCCTCGCCCCCCTCCCCCATCCCCCTTCTACACTGTGCGGGCTTTAACTGTACAGCTGCGTCAACTTACCTTTCCTCCTCCTCCCTCTCCGCCTCCGCCTCCTCCCCCCCCTCATCGCCCTCCTCCTCCGAAGTCTCCCCCCCTCCCTCGAAGCGCAACGATAAGGGGGACTGGCCCAAGGGGGGGACAGCGACCTGGAATCGGCGATACATCGTCCGTAGATCGGGGATAGGGCCCTCCGATAGCTATATATAACCAGGATGCTCCTTGGCGGGGTGGGCCATCGGGCCCCTATGGGCGATCAGTGGGCAATTGACGGTCGATGCGTCCCCCCACTGAGCTTATGCCCCCGCGAATGCTCCCCCCTGGGTTCGGGTCATGACTCGCATGCTCGGCGGCCGTTCGGGACGATCCAAGCACCCCCGGAACGCTCTCGGCGAGGCGCAGCTGCTGGAAAAAAACATCCCGAGACTGGAAAACCGTTTGGGAACCGACGAGACCACCGAGAGCCTATCCTGAGCCGAAAATGGTATCATCTCAGCGTCTTGGGGGTCGTCTTCCTCCCCCCGCTTAGGTCGATACATCCCCCCCATGAGCTTGTCTCCGCGTGAGCTTCTATCCCGACCTGGAATCGGCGATACGTCGCCAATCGATCGATCAAAGGCCCAGAGAAGGGGAAGGACAGGGAGAAGGAAGGGGGGTGGGGGCGGAGGCGGAGGAGGACGCAGAAGAGGAGGGGGATGAAGATGGTGGGGGACAGTGGAAGGGTGTGGAGGAGGAGGGGGAGGGGGAGGAGGAGGAAGAGGAGGAGGAGGAGGATAATCATAATAATAGTAATACGAATTATTCACTGCGTGGAGCTCCCCATCTGTGCATCTCATGTTTTTATGTCATGCCATAGTGGGCGTCTGTTCATGAGCGCTCAAATATAATAGCGCGTCCACACGGGCGACAGGGCCGACGAAGACGAGTGAATCCGAATGCGAGTGAATGAGTATAAGTCAGAATGAGCTTGAAAATGATTGAACATGAGCCTCCCATTTCTTCCCCCTCCTCAGCTGCCAGGCCGCGCCCTCCTCAGCACGCCTCGACTCTTTCTTCCGTGCGTCCCAGAGGGTACGTGCCGGAGCACGACCCAAGGGACCACCACGCCTCAACTCCTTCCTCCGTGCGTCCCAGAGGGTACGTGCCGGAGCAAGACCCAAGGGAACAGCACGGCTCATCTCCATCCTCGCAGCATGAAAACGAGCAAACCGCCTGAGATATCCCCGCAACATGGCCGCGAACGGGCCCGTGTCCTGCCCCGTGGCGTGTCTCCTTAGGGGTGCTGAAACCAGCGCCCCGCCTGAGACATCCTCACAATCTGCTCTGGAACCCAAGGATGTTGGGCATGGAAACGAGCAAACCGCCTGAGACATCCCACAAACGGGCCGCGAACGGGCCCGTGAAAACACTCCTGGCGGCTCCCCTTGCGAGTCTGAGTATGACTAAGTCTGAGTATGAATAGGTTTCAGTCCGTGCGTTGAGTAACTCAGACTATGAAAAGGTCTGAGTATGTGTAGGAAGGGGTCCCATCATGAGTAAGTCTGAATAAGAGTAGGCCTGCATGTTGTGTGTTGAGTAGGTCAGACCATGAAAAGGTATGAGTATGAGGTCTGAGTATGAGTAAACCTGTGTATGACGGGGTCCCCGCATGAGTAAGTATGAATATGAATAGGCCTCCATGTTGTGTGTTGAGTAAGATAGACCATGACAATGTATGAGTATGAGTAGGTCTGAGTATGAGTAAGTCTGTGTCTGAGTAGGTGTGTTCTCTCGGGGGTCGACGGCGTCCGAGTAGCAACAATAACCCCATCTGAGGATATGGGGAACAATCATACGAAAAAGAATAATAACAACCATGATATACTAATACTAAGAGGAATGCGGCTACGAATAAGACTAGTAATAATAATCACAAACGTAAGAAGAGTAATACAAATCATACTACTACTACTACCACCACTACTACTCCTACTACTACTACTGCTGATACTACTACTACTACTACTACTACTACTACTACTACTACTACTACTACTACTACTACTACTACTACTACTACGAGTACTACTACTACTACTACTACTACTACGACTACTACGACTACTACGACTACGACTACGACTACTACTACTACTACTACTACTACTACTACTACTACTACTACGACTAAGCGTACTCATAAGAAGACGAATGCTACGAACATGCGTAATCATAATGATAGAAGTGGGATGAATACTGGTACTACAAAGAAGGGTAACGATATTACTAATCCGATGCATACGCATAATAATGATACTTGTAAGACAAAGAAGCTTAATCATACTACTACTACTACGACTACTACTACTACTACTACTACTTCTACTACTACTACTACTACTACCACTACTACTACTACTACTACTACTACTACTACTACTACTACTATTACTACTACTACTACTACTAATACTCATCTGGGAGCGTGATAAGACGAATGATACTGATAAGACGAATGCTCCGGACAACCATCATACAAATAATGGAGGAAGGAGGAGGAAACGAACAAGGAGGAGGAGACGATCGAGGAAGAGGAGGAGGAGGAGACAATCGAGGAGGAGGAGGAGGAGACGATCGAGGAGGAGGAGGAGGAGAATATCGAGGAGGAGGATGAGGAGGAGACGGTCGAGGAGGAGGAGGAGAAGGAGGAGGAGGAGGAGGAGATTGCGACTAGGAGGAGGAGGAGGTTGCGAGGAGGAGGAGGAGGAGGAAGATATGATCGAAATGCGTGCCCGGCCAGGCACCTTCGGGGGCACCTCGCCGTGCTCCGGGGGCTGCTCGCCGCGCGGGACGCGGGCGCGCTGCTCGTTCTGGGCGCGCGGGCTCGCTCGCGCCCTCCTCCTCCTCCTCCTCCTCCTCCGCCTCATCCGCCTCCTCCTCCGCCCTCCTCCTCCTTCTTCCCCCCCCCTCCCCCTCCCCCCTCCTCGCCGCTCTCCTCCTCCTCCTCCTCCTCCTCCTCCTCCTGCGCCTTACCCTGTTGTGCGTTGTGCTGTTACCCTTCGCCTTATCATGACTGGCATGTTTCTTCATATCATTCTCCTTCGTCTTAATGTAATGAATGTCCTGGTGATGCTGCTCATTCTGTTTCTGCTTCTGTTTGTAATTATTCGTATTCGTACGCTTCTCATTCTTATTCCCCGTTATCATTTTTCGAATTATCCATATTCGTCTTCTTTTCTTATTCTTATTCTCTCTCTTCTTCCCTGGTTCTGCCACGTGCTTTCTGCTCCTAGCCCCCCTCCTGCTACTCCCTCCTCTCGTGTTCCATCCTCCTCCCTCCCTCTTGTCCCTTCTTTCCATCCGTTCTCTCTTCCCCTGCCTTTGTGGCTGCAAGAAATACACGTTGCAAGGTAAGAGCGAGACACCCAAGGGGGCACGAACAAACATGAAAAAGACAGGAATCGAGGGTTTGGGATATACGTGATGAATGGCACGTGGGCAGACAAACACGAACAGTATGAACATGATTGTTAGTGTGATCGTTGTTGTTGTTGTTGTTGTTGTTGTTGTTGTTGTTGTTGTTGTTGTTAATATTAATGTTAATGTTAATGTTAATGTTAATGTTGTTGTTGTTGTTGTTGTTGTTGTTGTTGTTGTTGTTGTTGTTGTTGTTGTTGTTGTTGTTGTTGTTGTTGTTTATTTGCTTGCTTGTTTTTTGATTGTTTTTGGTTGTTCGTTGTGTGTTGTGTGTTGTGTAAAATGTGTTGTTCGCTGTTTGTTGTTTGTTGTCGTCGTCCCCCCCGCGATCCAACCTGCGACCCGCCCGCGACCCGCCCGCGACCCACCCGCGACAAGCCCGCGACCCGTCTGCGACCCAACCGCGACCCATCCGCGACCCACCCGCGACCCACCCGAGACCCGCGACCCACCAACGACCCACCCGCGACCCACCCGCGTTCCACTTCGCGACCCCGCGACCCACCCGCGACCCAACCGCGACCCGCCCTCGACCGGACCGCGACTGGACCGCGACCGGACCGCGACCGGACCGCGACCCGACCCGCGACATGGCCCGCGACCCATCCGCTAAACATCCCGCTGCCCAACCACATTGCTTTAACGAAAAAATCGGCGCCAGCGGCTGGCTCAATACATGTTTTGTCAGAACAGGGGGGCCGAACGGTCAATCTCTGTCCCTGGGTGCGTGGCTGAATAATTTATCAGAGTTGGGCGGAACGGTCATTCAACGTCCCTGGGTGCGAACTGAAGTGAGGTTCTGCGGTGCGGATTGTTATTGTTGTCGCTGCTACTGTTGTTGTTGTTGTTGTTGGTGCTGCTGCTGTTCTGGCTGCTGCTGCTGCTGCTGTTGTTGCTGCTGCTGCTGTTGTCTTCGTCGTCGTCGTCGTCGTGGTGGTGGTGGTGGTGGTAGTGGTGGAGTTGTTGAACATTATTAATTCTAAAGAATAATTATTGTTGGGCCCCCTGGTGCGCGCCCCCCCCGCCGCGCCTAGGCCGCAGCCACGTTTTCATCATTTTCGTGAGGAAGCCTCAGGTAATTCGAGTGATCAAGATCCGGTTGTTTTGTTGTAATCCGCTTTCCCTTGCAAAAAACACTATAAAATGAAATTTCTTGTTCAAATATAATCAAATTTCAAGAATCCCTTGCAAAAAATAAGGTAAAGTGGACATTCGCGCGCGCAAGACGAAATCCTTCCAAAAGCTTAGTGTTCGGAGCGATTTTAACATAAAAACATCAAAAAACCAATGGTTTTTCAACAAAAAAATGTCAAAATCTCATCCCGCGCGCTCTTGCGGATTCGTAGGAAACCCAACACTTTTTAAACATTTCTGTCAAACGGGCTTTTGCGAGCAACTTTTTCGAACTTCTGCGACAACGGTTGCGCACCTGCCAGGGCCATCATCCCTGTCAAATAATACCATGCGGGACAGTTTTTTTTTTTGCGGGACATACACCGCCCCGAATAAGTGACCAAGTTCTGTGGGTGTGTACCCCACGCCAGTGTAGTAGCCACGGTCGTCCGCACGCCACGAAGTGAAGTGTCCCAACGTCATAGGGCGGGAAGCTGGGTTTGGGTGGTCGCGAAGAGTCGTTTGGATATTTGGTAGAGCTTGTAATGCCCCCCCACGAAGTGGGGGTATTGCCTGGTGTCGTATGAAAACCCTGGCACTGGGGAGAACACCACGCGTTCGGGTAAAATGATTGTTGTTGTTGTTGTTGTTGTTGAACATTATTTATTCTAAAGAATAATTATTGTTGGGCCCCCTGGTGCGCGCCCCCCCTGCGCCGCCTAGGCCGCAGCTACATTTTCATCACTTTCGTGAGGAAGCCTCAGAAAAGAGGGTGTGTACAGGATCCGGTTGTTTTGTTGTAATCCGCTTTCCCTTGCAAAAAAACAATAGAAAATGACATTTCTTGTTCTAATATAATCAAATTTCAAGAATCCCTTGCAAAAAATAAGGTAAAGTGGACATTCGCGCGCGCAAGACGAAATCCTTCCAAAACCTTAGTGTTCGCAGCGATTTTAACATAAAAACATCAAAAAACCAATGGTTTTTCAACAAAAAATGTCAAAATCTCATCCCGCGCGCTCTTGCGGATTCGTAGGAAACCCAACACTTTTTAAACATTTCTGTCAAACGGGCTTTTGCGAGCAACTTTTTCGAACTTCTGCGACAACGGTTGCGCACCTGCCAGGGCCATCATCCCTGTCAAATAATACCATGCGGGACACATTCGTTTTTTCTTCGCGCGCGCACGCCGTCGTCGTCGGCCGCGGGGCCCTGAATAGTAGCCACGGTCGTCCGCATGCCACGAAGTGAAGTGTCCGAACGTCATAGGGCGGGAAGCTGGGTGTGGGTGGTGGCGAAGAGTCGTTTGGAAATTTGGTAGAGCTTGAACCGGCCCCCCCACAAAGTGGGGGTATTGCCCGCCTCCTATGAAAACCCTGGCACTGGTGAGAACGGAGTGTCCCCACGTGCTAGTAATTGTTGTTGTTGTTGTTGTTGTTGTTGTTGTTGTTGTTGTTGTTGTTGTTGTGTTGTTGCTGTTGTTGTTGTTCGGAAAAACCCTGGCACCGGCCCCTGCTTGTTGTTGAGATCTTCTTCTTTCTCAGAAGCCACCAGCCGTTGCCTTTAAAGTTAAGCAGCGCTCCAACAATCGCGGGCTTGCACCGCGGGGCCGGAGAGTGCGCTGGCACTTGGGCGGCGGCGGCAGGCTCTCCACGGGGGTTGGAGAAGGTGTTGGCACTCTGGGCGTGCTCCCTGAAGTTTTCCCAGGACCTCCATGGGTCCCCAAGGGTTCTTCCAGGTTCCGCAGAATTCTTCTGGACTCTGCAGGATCTCTCAGGATTCCTCACGACCAAAGGATTCCCCAATGCGCAGCACGGTTCCTCAGACCCCCATAAGATTACTCAGGGCTCCCCAGGATTCCTCAGGACCAAGAACTCGTCCGGATCTCATATGACCTCATGCTCCCTTCGGATTCCTCAAGCTCCCAAAGAATTCCGGAGGATTCCTGAGGTTCCCCAGGGATTTCTAAGGATTCCTGAGGATTCCCAAGGATTCCTCAGGAGTCTTGCAGAACCCACCTAAATGATTCTCCAGCACTCCTGCGGTCCCCAAAGGATGCTTAAGGATTCCTCAGGACTCCTGGGCAACCCCGAAAAATTTCAAGGACTCCTGAAGACCCAAAAGGGTTCCTCACGACTTTTCGCCAGGAAACCAAAGGATAACTACTTAGATATTCGTCGGGACTCCTGAGGTTCCCAGGGGGTGCGTGAGGAGTCCTCAGGACTCCTGAACAGCCCAGCGGGTTCTTAAGGAGTCCTTCGGACTCCTGGGGATCCCTGGAGATTCTGACGGATCCCCCTAAACTCCTGAAGCCCACAGGATCCCAAAAGATTCCTAAGGATTCCTGAGGAGCCCACAAGATTCTTGGGGTTCTTCAAAGCTCCGGAGGATTCCTATGGATTCCTCAAGACTCCTGGGGAGCCAGGAATATTCGTGAAGAGCCTCTCGGGCTCCTGAAGATTCCTAAATATTCCTCAGGCCTCCTGAAGAGCCCCGAATATTCGTAAGGATTCCTTCGGGCTCGTGAGTATCCCAGAAGATCCCGCAGGAATCCAGAAGAGCCCAACTGATTCCGAAAGGTTCTTCCGGACACCCGAGGATTCCTAAATATTCACCCAGAATCTTGAACAGCCCAGTAAGGATTCCTTCGGATTCCTGGGGGTCTCTGAGGATTCCTCAGGACTCTTGAGCCCACAGGATTCCTCAGGACTCTTGAGGAACCCCGAGGATTCCTAAGGATTCACTCCTGAGGAAGCCGTTAGGTTTCCCGAAGAGCGCAAGCACGGGGCCAGAGAAGGCGGTAGCACACGAGGAACGGCTTCTGCGGAGGCCACAGGTTGGATGAAAAAGGAGACGAGGCCGGAATGTACGCTTGTCCACTGGGGCGCGTCGCTGCCGCACGGGGCCCGCCGCATGTTCGGAAGAATCGTCGTCACACAACGAACGCCAACACAGAACCCACGGGGCTGGAGCGTCCGTTGCTCCACCAGGGTGTGACCGTTGAGCATGCTTCCCCGTGCTGGGGCTCGAGTCTCCACTCTTCGGTTGGACTCCCACTTTTGAAGACTTGTTATTGTTGATCCCCCATCACAGGTGCATGCTGCTTTTCTCAATCAAAGTGTGCCCCTCGACGCTCGCACCCTGTTTTCTTGATAAGGAAAGTCTTGGTGCTCAAACTGGGCTCCTGGCCCCCCGGATTACAACAACAACGCCTCCGGCCTGAGACTTCCTCACAATTTACACAGGATCGGGGCTCCCGTCTGTAACCTCCTCGCAATTA